GAGAGACTGCTTCTCCCTCTCCCACTCCCCCTGCTTGTGTTCCCTCTCTCACTGTGTCTCTCCCTGTCAAATAAATAAATAAAATCTTTAAAAATAAATAAACAGTAGTCGAAACTTTCTTAATTATCTAATGGTTGCCTACTGAAGACTAGAGACTCCTGATGAATGAATGAAGATTTTACTGAATTTTTATAATATATTTCTATAGCACCGTTCAATTTTCCATAGAACTCTTTTAAGTCTGTCAATAGATATCAGTTGAACAAATAATCAGGTGAGGTGGCCAAGATGGGTATTACTACATGCATCTACTAAAAGTTGAAACCGAGACTCAGGAGTTAGAGTACGTTCCCATTAAGTGTAGGAAATGCCAGGAGCAGGGACAGCTCTTTCTTTAATCTTAGATCAGTACTCTTTCTATTGCAGTACACTTTCTCTTTTTGTTGGGTACAATTGTACTCTAATGTCAATAATCTCTCAATAAAGCTGGGAAAAAATTTCTACTCTAGGAAATATATTTTGTCCAAGTGTTTAAATACAAAATCAAGTGTAAACTGCAGAAATTTGTCCAACAATCGGCAAAAATAGTGCTTTTATAAAATAAGGGTTGCTTCACTCTACAGAAAAACTTTGAACTCAGAAATTCCAGGACTGCACAATTTGCTTTATTTGCATGACCTCCCAGGGCAGGGAGTTAGGGCAACTCTATGAACCCCAAGGTAATCAGTCAGATGAAGACTATACTTCCCTGTAAATCCCTCAGAGAAAATCAGGGAGCTTCTCTTTAGGCTGTACTCAAGAGGAAATATTTAACTAAAGTCAATAACTCCCCCAACCCCACCCTGGATCAATTTATTAGTTTAGATTTTAGGTTTAAAGAGTCCTCTGAAATCTCCCTCAAAGCTTAGTCATTTAAAATTTGACCATTGTCCCCTTTATGCCATATACAAAGATTGCTCCTATGTGCACCTTGGATGATTTTCTTGTTTAATGACATGTGTCTCCTATCTTTACTTTTGGAGTACAAATTATTCAATAATGTCATTTTATCCACATTTTCCAATGAGAAATAACTTCTTATTCTATTCTGTAACCAAAATTTGGTAAAGTTTACTTCATTTTCAAGCTTATAAGGTTTTTTTTTTTTTAAAGGGAGGTTTCTTTTTCTTTTTTTTTTTTTTAAGATTTTATTTATTTATTTGACAGAGAGAGACACAGCGAGAGAGGGAACACAAGCAGGGGGAGCCGGAGAGGGAGAAGCAGGCTTCCTGCCGAGCAGAGAGCCCGACGCGGGGCTCGATCCTAGGACCCCCTGAGCCGAAGGCAGATGCCCAATGACTGAGCCACCCAGGTGCCCCTCAAGCTTATAAGGTTTAAAATTACTTAGCTACACTTGGTATAGACATTATTGTATACAGTATCAGGCTTCCTGATACTGTATACAATACATTTCCTCCATGAGGAAATGTAGCTGTATATCTAGTACTGATATTTTGGGCACAATAAAAAAATTAACAAAAAATTTTTGAGTCATTGATTATTATGACCAATCATATTTTCAGAACTCTAAATCAGGTGAGTTCATCAAAGTTTGGTGCTATGTTTTCCTGTTTATGTTACCAGATCCTACCTAATACACAAGTATTAGGATTCCATAGAGGCTTGTCAGCATTTTAAATATGAATTATCTTCGAGGGGCGCCTGGGTGGCTCAGTCTGTTGAGCATCTGGTTCTTGATTTCAGCTCAGGTCATGAACCCAGGGTCATGGGATTGAGCCCTGAGGTTTCTCTCAGCGGAGAGTCTGCTTGAGGGTTCTTTCTCTTCCTCTCCCTCTGCCCCTCCCCCATTTGTGTGCTCTCACTCTCTCTCAAATAAATAAATCTTTAAAAAAATAAATATGAATTATCTGAATATTCTCACTTGGATAAAATGCTCTCTGTACCTCATCAGTTTGAAAGTTGCTAGATTTACATTACATAATATTTGGAACACACTTTTTTTTTTTTAAAGATTTTGTTCATTTATTTGAGAGAGCAAGTGAGAAAGCACAAGTGGGGGGCGCCTGGGTGGCCCAGTCGTTAAGCGGCTGCCTTCGGCTCAGGTCATGATCCCAGGGTCCTGGGATCGAGCCCCACATTGGGCTCTCTGCTCAGCAGGGAGCCTGCTTCTCCCTCTCCCACTCTGCCCGCTTGTGTTCCCTCTCTCACTGTCTCTCTCTGTCAAATAAATAAATAAAATCTTTAAAAAAAAAAAAGAAGAGGGTGCCTGGGTGGCTCAGTCATTAAGCGTCTGCCTTCAGCTCAGGTCATGATCCCAGGGTCCTGGGATCGAGCCCCGCATCAGGCTCCCTGCTCGGCAGGAGGCCTGGTTCTCCCTCTCCTACTGCCTGCTTGTGTTCCCTCTCTCGCTGTGTCTCTGTCAAATAAATAAATAAAATCTTAAAAAAAAAAAGAAGAAGAAGAAGAAGAAAGAAAGCACAAGTGGGGGGAGGGGCAGAAGAAGAGGAGAAGCAGGCTCCCCGCTAAGCAGGGAGCCTGATGTGGGGCTCCACTCCATCCCAGGACCCCAGGATCATGACCTGAGCTGAAGGCAGACACTCAACTGACTGAGCCACCCAAGCACCCTGGAACACATTTTTATATTAAAAATATTCATTGATGATCTGAAATTCAAATTTAACTGAGTGTTCTGTATTCTATCTGGCAACTCTATCAATTTATCCCAACAATATGCATTGAGTCTCTGACATGTGTCAGGGGCTAGTCTAGGCAATGTTACTAGACAGTAGTGAAAGAAGTAGACCCGGTAAAACCTTCCTGGAGGTAGCAATCTAACAGGGAAGACGGGAATTAAACCATCATGTACTTAATACATTTCAATGGTGAAAGTGCTATTAAAGAGAAGTTTGAGCGGCACCTGGGTGGCTCAGTCAGTTAAGTGTTGGACTCTTGGTTTTGACTCAGGTCACGATCTCGGGGTTGTGAAATCCAGCCCTGCGGTGGGCTCTGCACTCAACTTGGGGTCTGCTGGAGATTCTCTCTCCCTCTCCCTCTGCCTTTCCCCCCCACCTTGCACACCCACACGCATACACTCTCTCATATAAATAAATAAAATCTTTAAAAAAAAGAGAGGGCGCCTGAGTGGCTCAGTCAGTTAAGCGTCTGCCTTCGGTTCAGGTCATGATCCCTGGGTCCCGGGATCGAACCCCATGTCGGGCCCCCTGCTCAGCGGAGAGCCTGCCCCTCCTCCTGCTTGTGCTCTGTCTCTCCCCCCACCCAATAAATTAAAAAAAGAGAGAGAGAGAAAGAAAAGTTTGAAATAATGTAACAGAGGTCCTAATCCAGTCAGGGGCTAGAGAAGGCTTCTCTAGTCTAGAGGAAGACAATGACATCTGAATAAGAAGGTCTTAGTGATGTAAAAGGGTCAGGTGGAGGAAGGCCTCTCCCAGCAGTTAAAAAGGCCTATTCAAGGACGTTGGGAAAGAGTGCAGGAATTTTCTTTTCTTTTTTTTAAAGATTTTATTTATTTGACAGAAAGAGCAAGAGAGCACAGCAGGGGGAGCAGCAGAGGGAGAGGGAGAAGCAGGCTCCCCACTGAGCAGGGAGCCCAATGTGGGGCTTGATCCCAGGACCCTGAGATCATGACCTGAGCTGAAGGCAGATGCTTAACCAAACTGAGCCACCCAGGTGCCCTGAGTGCTGCAATTTTCTGCATGAGAAAGAAGGAATTGGCAAGGGGAGAGGAGGTGGGTCTAGCATGGTTTTGTGCGGCCAGTAAAACATTTGCCTACTGGGCCCAAGTACAGTGGTAGGTAGACAGTGGGGATTCAGAAATGAAGGCCAAATCCTGCCCTAATAAACTCACTACATAGTGACTCAAAGAAATGAGGATAAAGAGGAAAAGGTAAGAAATAAAAATTGAATCCTCCCTTCAAATAACATGGTTATAGATATCTTTGTGGTAGTAAACGTGTTCCCAGACACTGCCAAAGATTTGTTATTGAATTTACACTGCTGTGCCTGCTCACCTCAACTGTAGTTATCTGCTGGAATGTTTTGGAGGATGTTTGAATAGCATTTTTGAAATGTGGCAAGTCTGAGACTGAAAAGCCAGTAGAAATCCACTAAATATCCTTGCAGTGAATTAGGTAAAATCTAACTTTAGAGCAGTTATTTTCAAAGATGTGTTTGGAAAAAGAACATTAAAACAAAAACAAACAAAAACCAAAACAAACAAAAAACAAGCCTTGACTATGTTAAGAACTTTGAAGGAATATTAGCTTTGTATTTTAGCCTGGTTCTTCAATTCCCGTGGCCACACACAAAAAAAAAGCATTACTCAAAATTTCTCGTGTGGATTTACTGATAGAAGAGACAGGACTACACATTCTTTGTAGGATAGAGTACAAGCCAAACTGCTTGTTTTTACTATGATTACAAAATAGGGACACTACCAATTGTGATACACCTTGGTATATGATTAAAAGCATCCGGTGCTCTGAACTGCTACAAGTTTACTTTAATCCAAAGGTAACCCTAATACCAAATCTCCCAGATCTTAAAAAAAAAAAAAAATTGGAATTGCGTGAGAAAGATTTCTGAAATTTGGGGAAAAAATTAGGATATGGGAATGAAGTGAATTGGGCTGGCTTGGAACGTCGTGTTACAAAGAGCCAATATAATTTTAATTTTTCCATCTAGTATCTCAAGAAATAGTATTATCTTTAATAAAACATTTCTGATACCAATATTCTTTGAAATACTAGTCTTTCAGTAAAGAGATCCCGGGATTTTAATTTACGAACTCCTTTGCCATTCCGAAGCTGAATCAAGCGCTGACAGCAAACACCATAACTAGAAGCAGTAAGTCTGGAGACAACCGAGCGCTAAGGGGAGGCGTGATTGGAAAAATCTCGCGAGAAGCACCGCATTCACTATTTTTCGCGATATTTTGGTGCCCAGCCTTTTTCCTCTCTCTCGCAGGATCACGGTTAATCTCGCGATATTTGGGAAGTTCCGTTGGGAAGATGGCGGCGGCCGGGAGCACCCTTCTCTTCTTGCCGCCGGGGACTTCAGACTGAGCCTTCCCTGGAAGAGTGGGAACGGCTGGTGCCCTGCGTCCCGGGAGCCCGAACCAACTTGGTTCCTTCGTTAGTGGTGGGGAAGGGCTTATCCTCTTGTGTAGGGTTCAGGACCTCCCCACCGTCGGGATGAAGGCTCAGGGGGAAACCGAGGGTGAGTGACTTGAGGGGGAAAGCAGGGGGCGGGACACAGCTTGGGGGAGCCAATCTGTGAGAGGAGCTGGGGGGCCGATGCCTCCGCCGGGGCAACGTTCCCGAGGTCGTGGAGTCCGGGAGGCGGTATAGCTTCTGACTGTGCCTTCCTTGGTGATGGAGGGCTCTGACTCTGGGATGATGTGGGCTCTCAACTTCTGTGAAGGTTTCCTGCTTAGCTAGGGACAATCAGTTGGGCCTCAGGACATTTTCAGCCTAAAGTTGATGGAAGACCAGGCGAGTGAATCTAAAACCTACTTACATCTCGTTTCAGAAGAGATGTCTGAATAATGACATTAAAAAAAATAATACAGAGCTGTGTGTCAAGTATTGAAGGATGTTTTGGCGTTAGTGAAATGATTAGGACCTTATGATTGTAACAGCCAGTAATTTAATATTTAATAGAATGTCACAATGTTCAGATTTTGTACTATTGTATATTTGTAAAATGCGTTGAATTTCATCCTTTCAGTGCTTGGACTAACTTAAGCTGCTGAAAAAACAACTTTTCTGTGGAACCGTACTTAGATTCTCTAAAGTTCTACACTCTTAAATGCTTCCTTAGTATTTTGGATATAGTTCTGTTAATAAGGATCACTGTATTGATGTTTACCCATCCATCTTCTCCACTTTGAGCTTTGTTAGATCAGGGACCTTGTCTTACTCATCATTGTGTAGACCCTGGCACAAAAAGTGTTTGAGCATTCGTGTGAAGTACTTATCATCGAGGAAAAGGGGGGTGGGGAGTGTATTTTAAAGGAGAGGAAGAAGAAAGGTTTACTCCTTGGTTGCAGAGGATTGGTGAGTGTAAAATGGAAACTCGATGAGGCAGGAATTTTGTCTAGTTTGCTCATTTCTGTATCCCCAGCATATAAAGCAATGCTTGAGTGAGTGAGTCTTGAAAGTGGAATTGCCAACAACGTGTCCAGAGCTGTAAGCTGGCTGAAACAGCCCCAAAACTGGTTTTCCAGAAGATGAGGACATTGGAGAAAGGAATTTGAATCTTGATTTAGAAAATGTCACTGCCTTAACTCTGATTGGTGACATTCTATTCATCTTTCAATGCCAACATCAACTGTCACCTTTTCTGTAACATCCCCAGGACTGATAATGAACTTTCCATTTTGCGTTTCAATTGTAATGTGTCTCTGTTTTTAACAGCATATCTCATTTTGCTTTCTGTGATGGTTATTTCCACTTTAACTTATGCACACCCCCTCACAGATATCATCTCAGGCGTATTGTGTGTTTTTGCACTGCCAGGGTCTCTAGAACAGGTCCTCGCTCATACTAAAAAGTATAAGAATTAGAGGAAGGATCAACTATATTTCAAAAGTAAAAATTTTAATAAAAATAAAAACTATAATTCAATAAGAAAACTAATAAAAATTCAAAAATAAATAAAAATCAACTAAATTTCAGTAATAAAAATTAGGAGGGCTGGAGAGCATAAGAGTTGTTCAGTCCAGGAAACTGAGGACTTTTCTATCTTTCTCTTACCTCTGCTGGAAACTCATCCTTTAGTCATTGACATATTCCCTATCCATATGGTTTTAGTTTGAATTCAAACAGGAAAATTTAAAATGGCAAATACAGCCTGTTTTCTTGATACTACTTCTACATTGATCTCTTAGAATTATGTCAAAAAATTAAGAAAGTCTGTATTTCACATTGAAAACCAACTAACTATAGTAAGGCCATGTTCAAATGTATGTTCTACATATATCATGCAAGGGATTTCATGCATATCATGAAATGATTTTGTCACCAAACATAGTCTTGATCCTGAAACATAATTAGAGGTGGTTCTTTTTTTGGTTTTCATTAAAAGACTGAATAGAAATCATTTATGTTCTATGGTGTTCATTTTGATTAGACCCCAATTTCTGCCTTCTTGTTATTAAAAGTAAAGTATTTGTATATTTTGAAGTAAATGGCGTTGAAAAATATTTTAACTGAGTTGTTACCAGGATGAAGTATGGGGGTTTCTTTTGCAAGAAAAATTGTGGAGGGTCTTGAAAGAAGAGTTTCTAATGCTGTTTTCTAATTTATATCGTAGAGTCAGAGAAGCTGAGTAAGATGAGCTCTCTCTTGGAACGGCTCCATGCAAAATTTAACCAAAATAGACCTTGGAGTGAAACCATTAAGCTTGTGCGTCAAGTCATGGTGAGGATTATGCTGGTGGATAAAGTGTTGTGCTTAGATAATTATTTAATAAGCTAAGCTCCCTCTGTAGATTTTTTTCAAACTAGTTATTATAGTGTGTCCTCAGTTTTTGTTTGTTTCTTTAAGAGAGTGTGAGAGTGTGAGCGGGCAGGGGGGTGCGAGGGCGGGAGGTTCAGAGGAAGAGGGAAAGAGAGAATCTTAAGCAGGCTCCTTGCCCAGCACGGAGCCCGATGTGGGACTCGATCTTATGACCCTGAGACCATGCATGACCTGAGCCAAAATCAAGAGTCAGACGCTTAACCGACTGAACCATCCAGGTGCCCTCAGCCACTTGATTCTAATGAGATAGTATTTTCATTGTATCTATACTACTAATAGAGTTTGCAACTGATTTTTTTTTTTTTTAAGATTTTATTTATTTGACACAGAGAGAGGGTGCGCACAAGCAGGGGGAGCAGCAGAGGGAGAGGGAGAAGCAGGCTCTCTGCTGAGCAGGGAGCCTGATGCGGGCCTGGATCCCAGGATCCTGGGATCATGACCTAAGCTGAAGGCAGACGCTTAACCAAGTAAGCCACCCAGACGCCCTGCAATGGATTTTTTAAGAAGATTTATTTATTTATTTTAGAGAGCATGTGAGCATGGGGGGAGGGGCAAAGGGAAAGGGGGAGAGAGTCTCAAGCAGGCTCTGTGCTAGGCTCCATCTCACTGAGATCATGACCTGAGCCAAAACCAAGAGTTGGATGCTTAACTGACTGTACCACCCAGGCACCCCTAGAGTTTGCAATTGATTCTTTTTTTTTTTTTTTAAGATTTTATTTATTTATTTGAGAGAGAGAGAATGAGAGAGAGCACATGAGAGGGGGGAGGGTCAGAGGGAGAAGCAGACTCCCCGCCGAGCAGGGAGCCTGATGCGGGACTCCATCCAGGGACTCCAGGATCATGACCTGAGCCGAAGGCAGTCGCTTAACCAACTGAGCCACCCAGGCGCCCCTGCAATTGATTCTTAATTAGCTTCACCTGTTCATTCTGTCTACCTTTTCCTCTGTAGTACTACTTCTTGAGTCATTTACCACTATGGGGAGACCTTAAGTGAAAGTTAAGTGGAAGACAGGGGGTAGGGCCTAGCTGTTAAAATTTCATCCATATGATTCCAGTAGTAGTCAAATGATGTAGGAAAACTTTACTTCTATGATTTGACCTCTGCAATGGTTATATGGATGTGTTCACTTTGTGATAATTCATGGATCTCTTCACTTAAGATTCATATACTTTTTTGTATATATGTTATACTTCAATGAAAGTGCCCCCTTCTCCCCAACAAATCTTACTTTGGGTCCAGAGTAAGTTCAGTTTAGTAGATGTATTAGTGTTTAAAATGATCATATCAGTATAGCCCTAGCAAAAGAACTAAAGTTGCTGTCAAAAGACCTATATTTGAGGTACTTACTACCTATGTGACTTTGGACAAATTATTGACTCTCTGAGTTCCCTCATCTGGAAAATAGAGGCACACAATACCAGTTTGCTTTTCTACATAGTTTTGTTGTACGAATCAGGTGAGATAATGGATATTACAGTGTTGTGTTGCTGAAAGATTTCTGTAGGGGCGCCTGGGTGGCTCAGTGGGATGAGCGTCTGCCTTAGCTCAGGTCATGATCCCAGGGTCCTAGGATTGAGCCCCATGTCAGGCTCCCTGCTCAGCAGGGAGCTTGCTTCTCCCTCTCCCTCTGTCTGCTGCTCCCCCCTGCTTGTGCATTTCTGTGTATTTCTGTAACTGTAAATTTGACAAATGTATGTATATCTCTGGCTGAGGATTATGTACATAGAATGTGGGTTTTTGTTTTGTGTTATTTTATTTAATGCCTTAAATAAAATAATGGCAGTTTTTCCTGTCTGGGGATTCAGAGGTTGTCATTTTTATACTACCAGGTAGCCATATTCTAGTTTGAAATATGTTCTGTAAATGATATTGTCATTAGAGAGACATCATGAGATAGAGGAATTCCAGGTGGCTACTAAGACCCTCTCATGGGGAACCAGTGTTTTGGTTTGGTTTCCATAGCCTCCACTGTCTACTTCTCACTTTGCATATTCGGAGACCTGATTGTATTGGTGTATTAAGACTTTGAAAGTTTTTCAACAACTGACATAGTAACAAAATCTTAGTAGACTAAAATGTAAATCAGACTGCCAGTTTATTAATTTACCACAGAGGGTTTATCTTTCCACTTAGCAAAATATTTGTATGCACCATCCAGAGCAACCCCTTATCTATTCAAGGTACAAGAGAAGCCCGATTATTAGTCAGATGTTTGTTTTATGAAGGTGGAATTAGAACAAAGAGATGGATTTAGGGCATTGAAAAGCCTGAAAAACTATCCTTTTATCATAAAACTTTCACATTTCTAGGGATTGGAATGTTGTGCAGGAAGAAACTTCCTTGGATAGGGTTAGAAAAACTGTCAAATCTTTTGCTCTTTGGGAGTCCCTTTTTCTGGACTACACATTCTATTTCTTAGAGTCAATCTAATTTTACTCAGGTTTGGTTTTATTTCTTAGATTACATGCGAATTACCTTGTTAGATTTGGGAATTGTCAAATCTCCTGAGCCACCTCATTAAACTTAGGATGTAGTTACTTCTGCAGGAGGCTTCAGGCTTCATTTATTATATTTGATTCTTCCTAATCTAAAATAAGATCTGGGCATACCTTTTTCTACCTTCATGTATATGGATATGGAAGTATCCATGTTTATGAACTTGTCCTCCTGTGGATGAATGGACAGAGTAATAGGAGTCTATAGATTATCTTGAGTATATAGAGAATATAGAGTATATAGACTACAGCATTTGGTCTGTAGATTATCCTGAAATATTACTACTAGGAGAAGTACATTTACCTGAAACACTGTTGGCTTGGTTAATTTCTACCTCAAATGTTTTCCTACTTAATACAGGAGAAGAGGGTTGTGATGAGTTCTGGAGGGCACCAACATTTGGTCAGCTGTTTGGAGACTTTGCAGAAAGCTCTCAAAGGTTTGTAAACGTGTTTGAAATATGCTTTCTTAAAACACCCAATTTTATAGTTACAGAAGAAATGTAAACCGAGATAGATCAACTTTCTATGCTAGGTGTTGTCTTGCTTTCACTATGGAGTTGAGATGAGCTCTTACCTGAACTTTTGAAACATTTATTTTTAATCTATTTTGGAGGGTGATAGAGATTCAAAAGATAATTGATGGAGAGTAACTATAAGATAGGAGGGGAAAGTTCTCTTTTTTCTTCACATATTCTCTTCTAATTAACTCACAATAAGAAGATGGACATTTTAACTCTAATAAAAGATTTTTACATTGTTTATGGACAGTGTTTTCAGGAAAGCAAATAAAATTTAAATCATGAGCTTGAATATTCATGCTTATAATTGCTAGTTCTGTGTATTTTGGGGGAAAATTAAAGTAAAAACAGATTTTACTCTGATCCATCACAAATGAACCTGATTCAGCTGAATATTGTCGTCCCCCCCCCTTGGGTTTCCTTTAAAATCTGAAGTCTGAGAGTGGGTTTCTACAACTCTCATCGCCCCTTCTAACATTTCCTTCTCTGATGGTTAAGAATCCTTGTTTAGTTCATCGAAATGTAGAGGATCCCACTTTTGCTTCTTCCAACTCAACACAGAGTCTCAGTCTTGAAAGGTAACCCTTCCCAATCTGTGGATATAACCATAGTATGTAGAGGCAGAGACTGGTACTTTTTTTTTAAATTGTGATAAAATATACATAACATAAATTTCACCATTTTAACCATTTTAAATTATAATTGAGTGGCATTAAGTACATTCACATTGTGTGTAGCCATCATCACCACTATCCATCTTTAGAACTTCTTCATCTTCCCAAGCTGAAACTCTATACTCATTAAACAATAACTTATTCTTTCTCCCTCTCGTCGACTGTTGGTAACCATCATTCTACTTTCTGTCTGTAAGAATTTGTCTACTCTAGGGGCGCCTGGGTGGCTCAGTCGTTGGGCGTTCGGCTCGGGTCATGATCCCAGAGTCCTGGGATCAAGCCCCACATCGGGCTCCCTGCTCGGCGGGAAGCCTGCTTCTTCTTCTCCCACTCCCCCTGCTTGTGTTCCCTCTCTTGCTGTGTCTCTCTCTGTCAAATAAATAAATAAAATCTTAAAAAAAAAAAATTTGTCTACTCTAGATACCTCATATAAGTGGAATCAAACAGTATCTGTCCTTTTGTGACTGGCTTTTCACTAGCATACTGTCTTCAGTGTTCATGTTGTGGCATGTATCAGAATTTCCTTTTTTTTAAAAAAGCTAAATAATACTTTGTATGTATATACCACATTTTATTTCTACGTTCATCCATGAATGGACATTTGGTTTGTTTCCATCTTTTGGCTGTAGTGAATAATGCTGCTATGAAAATTTAATTTTTTTAAAAAGATTTTATTTATCAGAGGTGGGGGAGCCCAACCAGGGGGAGCGGCAGGCAGAGGGAAAAGCAGGCTCCCTGCTGAGCCTGATGCGGGACTTGATCCTAGGACCCCAGGATCATGACCTAAGCCCAAGGCATATGCTTAACCGACTGAGCCACCCAGGCATCCCTTGAATATTTGCTTTTATGTTGGTTTGTTTTTGATGTTAATCTTCCTTATTCTAGCATTAGCAGATACATTTGTCTTTTTGAAGTTAAAGATAACTTATCCCAGGGCGCCTGGGTGGCTCAGTTGGTTAAGCAACTGCCTTCGGCTCAGGTCATGATCCTGGAGTCCCGGGATCGAGTCCCGCATCGGGCTCCCTGCTCAGCGAGGAGCCTGCTTCTCCCTCTGACCCTCCCCCCTCTCATGTACTTTCTCTCATTCTCGCTCTCTCAAATAAATAAATAAATCTTAAAAAAAAAAAAAAGATAACTTATCCCAGATGAGCAATGCAAAAGGGAGAGGAGAATGGTCCAATAATTTTTTCTTTTCTTTCTTTTTTTTTTTTAAGATTTTTATTTATTTATTTGACAGAGACACAGCGAGAGAGGGAACACAAGCAGGGGGAGTGGGAGAGGGAGAAGCAGGCCTCCCGGCCGAGCAGGGAGCCCAATGCGGGGCTTGATCCTAGGACCCTGGGATCATGACCTGAGCCGAAGGCAGACGCTTAACGACTGAGCCACCCAGGCGCCTCTCAATAATTTTTTCAAATAGATCTTTTTTAAGTAAGCCCCGCCGACATGGGGCTCGAACTCACGACCCCAATATCAAGAGTTGCATGCTCTACCAGCTGAGGCAGCCAGGCGCCCCTCAAATAGATCTTTTTTTTGATCCTTACTACTGCCTAGATCACAGCTAAGTCTTACTAATGAACTTGTACAAATCATAAGCATTTGAACTATTGAATGTAATGGCTTGGAAGGATGTATACTCCTTAGGATGTTGCGGTCTCTGAAGAATAAAATTTAAGTATTTGGATCATTTTGTGATTTCCCTTTTTTACCTTCCTAGTTACATCTTTACCAGCAATGACTGACCGCTTGGAGTCTATAGCAAGACAGAATGGGTAAGTAGTCTATCTCAGGCAGAAGTATTTAACTTAGTGTTGACTTTGGGTGGCTTTATTTATGTGTCTTCTATTAATTTTTGTTTTGATTTGTTCCTGCTAGACTGGGCTCTCATCTCAGTGCCAGTGGCACTGAATGTTACATCACGTCAGATATGTTCTATGTGGAAGTGCAGTTAGATCCTGCAGGACAGCTTTGTGATGTAAAAGTGGCTCACCATGGGGAGAATCCTGTGGTATGTGTTGTTGATATTTCACTGGAATCTGTGGGGTTTACTTAGGGACATTAAAATGAATTGTTGGGGTTTGAAATAGCTTGGGTTTAGGTTTTTTTGTGAGCCACTGTAGAGATGATGTGATCGGCTATAATATCAATAGCTCTAGAATTTAGAATAACATGGGTCCATCTCTGACATCATCCAAAGGCTTCGACAAGTGGAGACACTAGAGGAACGCTTTCCATTTCATATCAACAAACATGAGCCGCATTTGAACAATAGGTGCTGGGGATACAGAATTCCTTAAAGTTCCTATCCTCAAAGAGCTAATAATCAAGGACAGATAATCTTATACATAGCTAATGTCTCTGAAAAAGCCTGTAATAGAGATGAATGTTTAATGTGTGTAACCAGTTGAATATGGACTCCAAGGATGGCATTAAAGGGAGGTCCTAATGTTTTAAGCTACTGAAAGTTGATTTCTTTATAAACTAGTTCATGTTTTGATCTTTAATTTCCCACCCCAACCCCATGGTTTACTAAGTAGGAAGATGCTTTTTGATTATCTTAATAGAAGGATTTTCTGTAGTTTTATGTTTTTGTTATAAAGCATGTGCTCTTAACAAAAGAGAAAAACTTTTGATGTCTTCAGAGACCTTAAAGTAGTTTAAGGTTTTAACGTGATTTCTTTAATTTCAGAGCTGTCCAGAACTTGTACAGCAGCTAAGGTAAGCAAATGACATTTATATTCCCTGATATTGTCAGACAGTGCTGTTCTTTATAGCTAGTCTTGAGGCTGGTCAAAAGTTACTCTCCTAAGGAACATATTTATTTTCTTGGATCAGGATTTTTCAGAGTCTATATTTGTTCACTTTCAGAATTGACTTGGCTTCTTAACCTACCCCGTCTATCCCAGGGTTTCTCAACCTTGGTAGCATTGACAGTTTGGATTGGAAAATTCTTTGCTCTAGGGGGCTGCCCCGTGCATTGTAGGATGTTTAACTACATCCTTGGTCTCTCCCCATTAGTTGCCATTAGTATCTCCTGACCCGTGACAATCAAAAATATCTCTTGATATTGTCACATGTTCCCTGGAGGGTGAAATCACTTCTGGTTGAAAACTACTGATCTAGCCTCAAGAATTCTGTGTGCAACAAAAATAAATAGAACCTAATTACTGAATCAGAGAAGGCTTGAGAAAATTGAGTCTATACCATGGAAAGAACTTTTTTCACTTTGAGAAAAGTTGTTTTACATTTAAGGTATATGTGTGATAAACTCCCATCATAGTAGAAGCGCTAGACATGAAGAGTTTCTTGGCAGTTGATGGCATTTCCCCCTGGATTATCCTTTCCTTTTAAATTGAGTGGAAATTTACTTTCTGGATTTTGAGAAAGCCAATACATTAATTTTATGTCTTAAGTATAGCAAAGTTCTCAGATACTACGTGGAGATGTCTTAAGATGTTAATATTGAGGGAATAAGTTTTATACTTGGCCTTTGCAGTGATCATTTTAATGTGTTCATAGCCAAGTGTGCCACATTTGAACCACCTTTTAAAAATTGCAATGCAACATAAAAACAGCCTTTTTATGAGTTTATTGAATCAGTTAAGTCTAGCAAAGGTGTGTTGCCAGAATAGTCCAGAAAGCCAATATTTCTGGTTCTGATCTGGAGTAGGAAACTGCACCAGTTTATGAACTGGTGGTGGTTTAAAGTTAATTTGTAAGCATGTTTTGAAGTGGGAAGCTCAGAAACAATATTAGCCTTTACATGCTATTTTTAGTCACTTTGTATAGATGGTGATTTTAAGGTGGGGGCATTTTTACTGCTACTCTTGTTTTGTTTTACTGTCTTCATGGCATTTTGGGCAGTAAGTGTTGAATATATGCTCAGTAAATGCCTGACCAAATACCTGACATTGTTAGGGCAATTTAGCTTTAAGAGACTTTTTTTTCTTTTTTTTTAAGTTTGAAAAAGATACAGAGAATTAGAATTCTTGAGTTGTGTTGGATTCCTGAGCCTGCCCACAGAACCCAATTGACTAAGAATCCAAGCCTGAATATTGGGTTCTAGGATGCGAGGGGTCTAGGTAGTAGTTCTTTTTCCTGGGGCAGGTCTCGTCATAGGAACATTGTAGAATTTGTGGTTTGCCTCCACAGTACTCACCTCCTTTTCTCTTAGTCTCCTCTCTCCCAAGTGTTCATTTTCCTCTTTGCTTTTAGGTTGCCATATACATACATGCAAGTGTTCTTTCTTTCCAATTTACTTATTTCCATTTCCTCTCCAATCAAAGGTTTGTTTTCCTCACGACATCCAATCATCTCAGTTACATATTAAGAGGAAAAGAAAGTGATTTATTTAAACCAAGTCTCATTACTTAGGATCAAATTATTGTAGTATAGGAATTATTAGGTCTTTTTGACATTTTTTATAGTGCTTACAAGTACCTTCTCTAGATAAATGGGATAGAGAAAGGAAAACATTTCATTTTCTTTTGCTACTTTTGATTAATTCTAGAAAACTTTGGGGGAAAAGAGTAAAGCAAATTATTAAAATTAGTTTTATGTAGCCATGGTTTTTGGCACTTTGCATTGAGTAGTAATTGTATGTTTTATTCTCCTCCCTCTCCCCTGAATTCCTTATAGGGAAAAAAATTTTGATGAATTTTCTAAGCACCTTAAGGGTCTTGTTAATCTTTATAACCTTCCAGGGGACAAGTAAGTATTTTTAATTTTGGTTTTGTTGGAAAAATCAGTATAGATGTAAACCGTTTTGTGCTTAGAAATTTGCCAAGTCTTCTGCCCTATCTTATTTGTGATTTCTTCTCATACTGACAACCTATAGCTTCCAACTTCATATCTTTTGAAGGTATTTGAAATAAATAATTTCTGTATTAATGGATATAATGCTAACAGAGACTATAATCCTTGAGATGTCTTCAACATAATTGATTTTTAAGCTGAAAAGAAATTAGTGGTTGTGGAACTGGCTCATCATTTTTATTTTTTATTTATTTATTTTTAAGATTTTATTTATTTGCGAGAGAGAGAATGAGAGACAGAGAGCATGAGAGGGAGGAGGGTCAGAGGGAGAAGCAGACTCCCTGCTAAGCAGGGAGCCTGATGCGGGACTCGATCCCGGGACTCCAGGATCATGACCTGAGCTGAAGGCAGTCACTTAACCAACTGAGCCACCCAGGCGCCCCATCATTTTTATTTTTAACCTACCTGGGATTCTGTTAACTAGCTTGGCTCTTTGAAACAGAATTGCCCTCTAGGCTATGTTAATGTTTGTATGTGTGTGTATATGTGTATTTTTCAACTATTTAACTCTTGTTCTCTTCATCTACTTTCTAGCAAACTGAAGACTAAAATGTACTTGGCTCTCCAGTCCTTAGAACAGGATCTATCTAAAATGGCAGTTATGTATTGGTAAGACTGGCTAAGGTGTCAATTCTATATGACTCTCTGGATACTTTGTTCTTAAAGCTTTTCATCTAGGGGGTTATTAGGGTCCCATATTATAGACCCATATTATTATATATTTTATCTATATCGTATATCTTGCCCATCTTTTTTTACTTCCCAAGTGATTGCATTCCATTTTCTCAGTATAAGTTGTTGGTTGATATTCCATCAGTTTTATTTGAAGTCTTGTCAAACCTGGCCTCACGTCTGATAAATAATAGTCTAGTTGTAATTTTTGTTCACCATATTACAAACTGTTTTACATGTGTAAATAAGCTCTTTACCTTGAAAATGAAATACAATTGCTATATGTCCAGTTATAGGACAAGTTATTAAGATTGAATTCTAAGACTTTTAACAGCTTCTCATTAGCACATTGTACACTAATACCTTCAGGGCTTTAATACAAACATAGATAATTTGTCTCATAGGAAAGCAACCAATGCTGGTCCCTTGGATAAGATTCTTCATGGAAGTGTTGGTTATCTTACTCCAAGAAGTGGGGGTATGTGATCCTACTTTGCTTACTTTGAAAATTATTTATTTATTTAAGATTTTACTTATTTGTCAGAGAGAGAGAGTAAAAGTAGGGGGAGTGGCAGGCAGAGGGAGAAGCAGGCTCCCTGCTGAGCAAGGAGCCTGACGTGGGACTCGATTCCGGGTCCTGGGATCATGACCAGAGCCGAAGGCAGACGCTTAATGACTGAGCCACCCAGGCGTCCCTGTTTTTATTTATTTTATTTTATTTTTTAAAGACTTTATTTGTCCGAGAGAAAGTGAGAGCGAGAGAGAGAATGTACACAAGCGGGGTGGGGGTGGGTGGAGAGAAGCAGGCTGCCTGCTGAGTAAGGAGCCTGATGCAGAACTCGATCCCAGGACCCTGAGATCATGACCTGAGCTGAAGGCAGACGCTTTACTGACAGAGCCACCCAGGCATCCCTATTTATTTATTTATTTTAATTAATTAATTTATTTGAGAGAGACACAGAAAGAGTAGGGGAGTGCACATGCGGGGGGAGGGGCAGAGGGAGAGGTAGAGAAAATCTCCAGCAGACTCCCCACCGAGCACAGAGTGGAGATCATGACCTGAGCTGAAATCAAGAGTCGGTCGCTTAACCCACTGAGCCATCTAGGCACCCTGAAAAATGTAAAAATGTTTTATTTTAGTTAAGGGGTGATTACATTTATACCTTGGGTTTATAAGCAGAGGGAGAAAATTACCAGTCACCTGTATATTTTTAAATGGTTTCTAAGGTGTTAACACCTGCCTTCCCCCAGTTACATTTTTAAATTGTGAAGTAAATTATTAGAATCAATACTTACATTTCCATCATATTTCATAAGTTGTTTTGGAGCATGAGTCCTCTTATCTATGGAATTATTTTCTCATACACAGTTTTGTAAAAATGGGAACATTTTTATTTGCAGTTTACCTGATAAAAATAGTGATAAGTTTTATTTTGCATAGGTCATTTAATGAACTTGAAGTACTATGCCTCTCCTTCTGACCTGCTGGATGACAAGACTACATCTCCCATCATTTTGCATGAGAATAATGGTAAGACTTTAACTGAAAAGCAACTGACGGTTTGGTTCAGTGTTTTAAAAATACTTAAAATAATTTGAATGCCTGAGCCTGGTTGTGTATTTCCTGATTTGCTACTTTCTAATAAGTTTGCCATCATACCAAAGTTCACTGTTCCTATCAGATTTTGCATCTGATTCTTACACACACACATACTCTTAATATATACACATGTATGTGTACACATACATGATAATAAAAGCTTAACAGGTGCTTTTGAACAAGTTGAATGAATGAATGAAAAGGTATAAACCATTTGACTTGAAATAATCTCCTTTAATCATTACTTCAAAGGTGAAGAGATTAGCCAACTTACTAAAGAATATAATAATGCATGTTGTTTCCTATTTGCATTTTTAAAATTTTATTTCTCATTAGAAGAATGAGAAAACCCAATGTGGGGCTTGAACTCACAACCCTGAGATCAAGACCTTAGATGAGATCAAGAGTTGGATGCTTGGGGCGCCTGGGTGGCTCAGTCATTAAGCGTCTGCCTTCGGCTCAGGTCATGATCCCAGGGTCCTGGGATCCAGCCCTGTGTTGGGCTCCCTGCTCTGTGGGAAGCTTGCTTCTCCCTCTCCCACTCCTCCTGCTTGTGTTCCTCTCTCGCAGTGTCTCTCTGTCAAAAAAATAAATAAAATCTTTAAAAAAAAAAAAAAAAAGTCGGATGCTTTACCAACTGAGCCACCCAGGCGCCCCTCTATTTGCATTTTAATACACTAAAACAATGAAAAATGGCCTAATACCTCATTTGGTCCCCTTGTAACTTTAGTCATTGACTATCCTATAATCCTAATTCTATTTAAATGCATTCTGGAATTGGAGAAAATAATTAAGTGTTGGTAATGAACCTTTAAAAATTTTTTTTTCTTTGGACTGCATTGTGTTCTGTATTTTATTTACTGACAGAAATATTGGTTGTAAAAGGTAGTTTCTCAAATTTCTAAGTCATATAGGTATTACAGTATCTGACAAATTATGCAGAAGTTAGCCTGTTTTTTGTTTTTAAATGTTAAGATCCTTGTAATTTGTGTTACTTTGGAGAAAACCCTTTTTCTTTCCTATTCTCAGTTCCTCGATCATTGGGCATGAACGCATCAGTAACAATTGAAGGAACGTCTGCTATGTATAAACTCCCAATTGCACCATTAATTATGGGGTCACATCCAGTTGACAACAAATGGTAAGTTAAGTATAATTCTAGCAAGGTTCATTTTTTCAACCTCAAGCCCAGTACGAAACAAGTATTACTTTGACTTGCCTCTTTCCTCACTTGACTTTCTAGAGATTGGCTTTTTATTTTATCCATTTAATTTCTCTTTTCAGTATCTATTTGAATGTTCCTTTCTGAAGTCTGCTTATAGAACACATTGTCTATCCTGAGAGAGAGAGAGAGAAGAACTGTACTAATTCCACTGGTTTAATGACTGCTTTTTTTTTCTTACGTTATCATGGGACTTCTCTTGACTGGAGTAATAACTAGAGACTCGAGATAGATGTTTGATTAAATACTTTAGGGTTAATAAATAGGATGTTTTGGAACTGGGGAAAGAAAGTTGAAAGAGTGAACTTTTTTTTTTTTTTTTTTTAGATTTATTTATTTAGGGGCACCTGGGTGGCTCAGTTAGTTAAGTGACTGCCTTTGGCTCAGGTCATGATCCCGGAGTTCCAGGATTGAGTCCCACATTGGACTCCCTGCTCAGCGGGGAGTCTGCTTCTCCCTCTGACCTTCCCCCCTCTTGTGCTCTCTCTCTCTCAAATAAATAAAATCTTAAAAAAATATATTTTATTTATCATTTATTTATTTGAGAGCGTGTGTGTGCACGCACGCGAGCAGGGGAGAGGAACAAGTAGACTCCACACTGAGTGTGGAGCCAGACGCTGGGCTCAATGTGGAGCTTGATCCCACAGCCCTGAGATCATGACCTGAGCTGAAATCAAGAGTCAGATGCTTAACCAATTGAGCCACTCAGGTGCCCCAAAAGTGAACTTTTTTTTAAACATTTTAATTATTTGTGTTAAGTAATCTGTACACCCAATGTGGGGCTCAGACTCATGACTGCAAGATCAAGAGTTGCATGCCCTACGACTGAGCCAGCCAGGTGCCCCAAAAGAGTGAACTTTTGATAGACTTCTGTTAAATGATACAGACATGTCTAAGAATGGGTGTTTAGATTTTTCATTTTTATATCAAGTCAAAATCCAACCCACACCCTTCTTTTTCTTGAAGGACCCCCTCCTTTTCCTCCATCACCAGTGCCAACAGTGTTGATCTTCCTGCCTGTTTCTTCTTGAAATTTCCCCAGCCAATCCCAGTATCTAGAGCATTTGTTCAGAAACTTCAGAACTGCACAGGTGAGTTTTAAGTATCAAGAGCTAATTCTTGTTAAAAATGTGAAAAACAAACTTCAAATTCAGATGATCTTCGACCTCTTTCAGTCTTGTTTTCAAAAAAGTACCGATGGGTATAAATGTCATAGTGCTTTGTACTAGTAAATGCTTAGTAAGTACTTTTTCAATAAATGGATGAATGAAATAGGAGTCATCAAGGGAAAACTGAGCTGTCAGCATTTTGATGTCATTACGATCATTATGTTCTTGTTTTTCCAGGAATTCCATTGTTTGAAACTCAACCAACTTATGTACCCCTCTATGAACTGATCACTCAATTTGAGCTGTCAAAGGACCCTGACCCCATACCTTTGAATCACAACATGCGATTTTATGCTGTAAGTAAGGCTCCATAGATTGTTGTAGGTTATTTTTGAACCCAAGATCAGAATCTTCCTTTATAGGATTACTGGGTCAGAAACATTCTTTTGGACTACTGGATCATTTCCTAGTTCCTCATTCAGGCAGGAAATTACAGAAATTTCTGAAACATAGTGAAGAAAAAGCATGAGCTTCCAAGTCAGGAAGTAACAATGTACATTTCATGGCCAGAATTTCAGATGAAATTCTCTTAATGGTATCCTGAACTTTTGTAAGTTTGTAAGTAGATGTTAAGAATTCCTAATGTTTGGGGTACCTGGGTGGCTCAGTCGTTAAGCGTCTGCCTTCGGCTCAGGTCATGGTCCCGGGGTCCTGGGATTGAGCCCCACATCGGGCTCCCTGCTCGGTGGGAAGCCTGCTTCTCCCTCTGCCACTCCCCCTGCTTGTGTTCCCTCTCTCGCTGTGTCTCTTTCTGTCAAATAAATAAATAAAATCTTAAAAAAAAAAAAAGAATTCCTAATGTTTAATTCTTTCAAGTGTCATGAGCTTATAATCTGAAAAGGTCCTTCAAGTACATATAGAGAAGAAAGTGCTAGAATGAATAAATTAAGAAAGGTTCCAAAACCTCATCTGGACTTGAATTTATTTGAATGTTTGAGGATAATCTAGACTAAAGTAGTAGTTTCCAGACTCTGTGTTACAGTTATAACAAGGTGTTTTATTAAAAATAGAGATTTTGCACTTACGGTTTAGGGGCCTCTTTTATACAAATTTCTGACGTAATTTTTGTTAGTTAGGTTAGGAAACCACTAATAGAACATTTATAGAAAAGGGGTCTTTTCAGCCAAGTTAGTAATTGGCATTTATAACATCAGCTGACCAAAGAAATCACTGTGGAGTTTTATTATTCAGTGAGAAACTGCTGCTGATTTTTGAGGAATAGGGGTTTTTTATATTTTGTGGTTGGAGCACCATGGGTGAGTAAATAGTGTTCATTTCCTTTGTCCTTTTTGCCCAGGCTCTTCCAGGTCAGCAGCACTGCTATTTCCTCAACAAGGATGCTCCTCTTCCAGATGGCAGAAGTCTACAGGGAACTCTAGTTAGCAAAATCACCTTTCAGCACCCTGGCCGAGTTCCTCTTATCCTAAATCTGATCAGACACCAAGTGGCCTATAACACCCTAATAGGAAGTTGTGTCAAAAGAACTATTCTGAAAGAAGGTATTGCCTTTCCTTTTAATATACTTACTGGCAAATGGAGACTCTTTGTTCTTGTGGTTCTCTAATTTGGTGGCTTATATCTCCTGTGGAGCTTTTATAACTGGTTTCCATTCACAAGTGAACTGAATTAGAACCTCAGTGGGAGGAGTTGGGAATCTGGTTTAAGCTCCACATATAATTATGATGGAACTAATCCATAAATTGGCATTTGGAAACCACTGTTTTTTTGCAATGGACTTACTCTTTTTCTGCATACAGTGATATAGTTAGGTACCTACAGGCCTGAACCTTACAGTAGGTATAGAAGGTAGAACTTGGGATGCTGTGGGGAGAGATGATTTGTTTCTTTCTTTTTTTTTTTTTTTTAAGGCATCTCTACACCCAGTGTGGAGCTTTTATTCACAACCCTGAGATCAAGAGTTGCATACTCTGCCAGGTGCCCCAGAGACGATTTCTTGAGATTTAAATTTTAGGTTGTTAGGACAGTGCTTCCCAGCTTTTAGTCCTGCCTGAGTATGTTTCCTGTCCCCATTCTTTGGGGAACTTAAGCATATAGCCTAAAAAGGGTTAAGACCCATGCCCTTTTTTCTCCCTAGATTCTGGAATGCTGATATTTTTCAAACACAGTTTGCTGTTAGAATCCCTGATGAGACTTTTGGCTGCTCTAGTTAACTGTAATTAATTTTTTACCTTAGTTGTAAAGCACTTCAGTAATAGAAATGTATTAATGCGAATGGCAGGCAAAAAGAAACAAGGAAGGCAAATCAGGAGATCTCTTTTTTGGGAATAAGAATTGCTTTAGAGGGGTGCCTGGGTGGCTCAGTCAGTTAAGCATCTGCCTTCACCTCAGGTCATGATCCTGGAGTCCTGGGATCAAGCCCCATGTCGGGCTCCCCACTCAGCGGGGAATCTGCTTCTCCATCTCCCTCTGCCCTTCCCTGCTGTGTTCTCTCTCTCTCTCTCTTGCTCACTCTCTCAAATAAAATCTTAAAAAAAAAACTGCTTTAGAAATGAGAAATTTTAGAGAGAGTGATGACACTGAGCATGTGCAAGTGTGCTTATGGCCCTTCTATTTCATGTATTTGAATCCTGGGAGAATTCTCCAAGTAGTTTCAGGGCATCTAGAAATTAGTTTTTGTAAGCCATTTATGAAGTTAGTCCTGCAAGATGCATGCGTTTTCCCAAGAAAGTATGTGATCCTCGTCTCTGGGCTTCCAGCATGTTTGGCTTAGGAACCTATGATGATAGATATTATATGTATATTTGGCATAAGGATATCATTTTATTTATTTACTCATTTATTTATTTTACAGATTTTTTTTTTTTATTTTAGAGCCCTAGCAGGGGGAAGGGCAGAGGGAGAGGGAGAGAGAATCCTTAAGCAGACTCCCTGCAGGACCCTGAGATCATGACCTGAGCCAAAATCAAGAGTCGGCCGCTTAACCAACTGAACCACCCAGGCACCCCAAGGATATGATTTTATTTTATTTTATTTAAAGATTTTATTTACTTATTTGACAGAGAGAGAGAAAGAGAGAGCACAAACAGGAGGAACAACAGGTGGAGGGAGAGGGAGAAGATGGCTTCCTGTGGAGGCAGACGTTTAACCGACAGAGCCACCCAGGTGCCACCCCAAGGATATAATTTTATTTATTTATTTTTTTAAAAAAGATTTTATTTATTTATTTGACAGAGAGAGACACAGCGAGAGCAGGAACACAAGCAGGGGGAGTGGGAGAGGGAGAAGCAGGCTCGATGCGGGGCTCGATCCCAGGACCCTGGGATCACAACCGGGGCCGAAGGCAGATGCTTAACGACTGAGCCACCCAGGCGCCCCAAGGATATAATTTTAGATTATAGCCCCTACATCCATGCTTACCAAACTATGGGCCACATAGCTAACATCTGCAAACACTGATAAAAAGCAGGGTTTATGGCAGTGGTTCTGGATGTCTTATCAAATAGAATGAAAAACTCTTGGCCATGTTTATTTTCATAATTCACTTTCAAGGCAAGGCATTAATATCTGTCAAGGTCTTTAACAATTTAGGGATTAAGTGGTCTTCATTTTAGAAAGTGGAAGTTTAGTTACTTCTTTGGAGTATTTATAACATCAGCTGACATATTTTTTGGAATCTGATTCCTTCTGTCACCTGTGAATGATATAGTAGGCTTTACGTGTAAAAAATATGTAGGATTGGGGTGCCTGGGTGGCTCAGTCGTGTGCCTTCAGCTCAGGTCATGATCCCAGGGTCCTGGAATCAAGCCCCACATCGGACTCCCTGCTCAGCAGGGAGGCTGCTTCTCCCTCTCCCTCTGCCCCTCCCCCTGCTTGTGCTCTCTCGCTAGCTCTGTCAAATAAATAAATAAAAAATCTTAAAAAAAATAAAAATAAAAGTTAACTTACCTAAAAAAAAAAGTGTGGAATTTAGTTTCTAAGGAGACAGAGAATTTCATCCTGTATACTTAGGGATTATTATTTACTAGTGTCTAGTCTTATATTTGGTTGATTATTTTATGATCCTTTTCTTTGCCTTTTAGATTCTCCTGGCCTCCTCCAATTCGAAGTGTGTCCTCTCTCAGAGTCCCGTTTCAGCGTATCTTTTCAGCACCCTGTGAATGACTCCCTGGTGTGTGGTGAGTTGTGAGGGGGCTAGCACTTTTCTTAGCGCAGTAGTTTGGTCCCTTTATCTTCTTTTTGAAGTCAGAAGCTGAATTTCTCTCAACTCCTGTGTATTTTGTCTTTCAGTGGTAATGGATGTGCAGGACTCAACACATGTGAGCTGTAAACTGTACAAGGGGCTGTCAGATGCACTCATCTGCACAGATGACTTCATTGCCAAAGTTGTTCAAAGGTAGCACTGGCCCTTTTCCATCAGAGTCACTGCTTTGAATTCACATTTCTGTGTTTTGGGATTCAAAAGTAATGTGAGCTTTGGTTTTTTAAATATCATGAGAGTAATAGGAAATAAGGTAGGTAACTTTAGGTCCAGTATTAGGGTTCTTTTAGGAGGGAGACAGCTGAAATAAGATGTAGGTTTTGTTGTTGTTGTTGTTGTTGTTTTTTAATTTTGCATCACTTTTTAACATATGTAATATGTCATGTGGTGGCATGTGGGAAGATAACTTAAGCCAGTCAGCTTCCCAGAAATATTAATATGTAATTTTGAGATTTTTCTAGAATAGGTGCTTGTGGCCTGTTTTATAAATAAATTTTATTAGAACACAGCTATGTCTGTTCATTTATATATTGTCTGTGCCTTTTTTTTTTTTTTAAAGAGTTATTTTTTTAGAGCGAGAGAGTGTGCAGAGTGGGGAGGGGCAGAGTGAGAGGGAGAGGGAGAATCTCAAGCAGACTCCCTGCTGCATGGGGATCCTGATGTGGGGCTTGATCTCAGGATTCTGAGATCATGACCTGAGGTGAAATCAGGTCAACCAACTGAGCCACCCAGGTGTCCTTATATATTGTCTGTGGTGCCTTTTGAGCTAAGATGGCAGAGTAGTTGGACAGAAACCATGGGATCTTCAAAAGCCTAAAATGTTACTGTTTGGTCTTTTAAGAAAGGTTGCTAAAATGTTCTAGAGCAAAGTGTCTTCTAAAATGTATTGTTAAATTTATCTGTAAGATAAAAAGTGCTTTGCTTTAAAGTAATCAAGATTTTATACCAATAATAGCATCTTTCACGGTATAGCTTTGGGATGATCTAAGTCATCAAGGTTTAGAATTTGATGGTTCAAGAGATTATTCTAGTGGTTCATTAATTAAGATAAATAGCATATCCCATTAATCACGTGTGAAGCCCGAAAAGGAAGATATTTTCTTACTGAGTTCATTACTATCAGTTTTTAGTTCAGTATGACATCTAATTTGGGCTCTTGTTTGTGGTTAGTTGGGTTTTGGTAGTGCCTCAAAAGAGGTTGAGAGTGCCTACTGGTACAGATTCTTTTTAGAATGAATTTGCCCAAAGCTCTGGCATTTTACAGAACTATTTCTGCCTTTCGGGTTATTTGCCTTACCTGAAAATTGCCTACTGCAAACCTCTGAGGGCATATCTGAATCTCAGGCAGAATTAAAGCCTGTTTTCCCAAGTAAAAATTGTTTTCATTCAGCAGCTAATACACTGCTAACTTTGTTTTTTCTATCTTATCTTACAGATGTATGTCCATCCCTGTGACGATGAGGGCTATTCGGAGGAAAGCTGAAACCATTCAGGCCGACACCCCAGCACTGTCCCTCATTGCAGAGACAGTTGAAGACATGGTGAAAAAGAACCTGCCCCCGGCTAGCAGCCCAGGGTATGGCATGACCACAGGCAACAACCCAATGAGTGGTACCACTACACCAACCAACACCTTTCCGGGGGGTCCCATTACCACCTTGTTTAATATGAGCATGAGCATCAAAGATCGGCATGAGTCGGTGGGCCATGGGGAGGACTTCAGCAAGGTGTCTCAGAACCCAATTCTTACCAGTTTGTTGCAAATCACAGGGAACGGGGGGTCTACCATTGGCTCGAGTCCGACCCCTCCTCATCACACGCCGCCACCTGTCTCTTCGATGGCCGGCAACACCAAGAACCACCCGATGCTCATGAACCTTCTTAAAGATAACCCTGCCCAGGATTTCTCAACCCTTTATGGAAGCAGCCCTTTAGAAAGGCAGAACTCTTCTTCCGGCTCACCCCGGATGGAAATATGCCCGGGAAGCAACAAGACGAAGAAGAAGAAGTCATCAAGATTACCACCTGACAAACCCAAACACCAGACTGAAGATGACTTTCAGAGGGAGCTATTTTCAATGGATGTTGACTCACAGAACCCCATCTTTGACGTCAACATGACAGCAGACACGCTGGATACGCCACACATCACTCCAGCTCCAAGCCAGTGTAGTACTCCCCCAACAACTTACCCACAACCAGTACCTCACCCCCAACCCAGTATTCAAAGGATGGTCCGACTATCCAGTTCAGACAGCATTGGCCCAGATGTAACTGATATCCTTTCAGACATTGCAGAAGAAGCCTCTAAGCTTCCCAGCACTAGTGATGATTGCCCACCCATTGGTACCCCTGTTCGAGATTCTTCAAGCTCTGGGCATTCTCAGAGTGCCCTCTTTGACCCTGATGTCTTTCAAACCAATAATAATGAAAATCCATACACAGATCCAGCTGACCTAATTGCAGATGCTGCTGGAAGCCCTAGTAGTGACTCTCCTACCAATCATTTTTTTCCTGATGGAGTAGATTTTAATCCTGATTTGTTGAACAGCCAGAGCCAAGGTGGTTTTGGAGAAGAATATTTTGATGAAAGCAGCCAAAGTGGAGATAATGATGACTTCAAAGGATTTGCATCTCAGGCACTAAATACTCTGGGGGTGCCAATGCTTGGAGGTGATAATGGGGAGACTAAGTTTAAAGGCAATAGCCAAGCTGACACAGTTGATTTCAGTATTATATCAGTGGCTGGGAAGGCTTTGGGTCCTGCAGATCTTATGGAGCATCATAGTGGTAGCCAGAGTCCTTTACTGACTACTGGGGACTTAGGGAAAGAAAAGACTCAAAAGCGAGTAAAGGAGGGCAATGGCACCAGTAATAGTAGTCTGTCAGGGCCAGGATTAGATAGCAAACCAGGGAAGCGCAGTCGGACCCCTTCTAATGATGGCAAAAGCAAAGATAAACCTCCAAAGCGGAAGAAGGCGGACACTGAAGGAAAGTCTCCGTCTCACAGTTCTTCTAACCGACCTTTCACCCCACCTACCAGTACGGGTGGATCCAAATCTCCAGGCAGTTCAGGAAGATCGCAGACTCCCCCAGGTGTTGCCACACCACCTATTCCCAAAATCACTATTCAGATTCCTAAAGGCACCGTGATGGTGGGCAAGCCCTCCCACAGTCAGTATACCAGCAGTGGCTCTGTGTCTTCCTCAGGCAGTAAAAGCCACCATAGCCATTCTTCTTCCTCCTCTTCCTCCTCTTCGGCTTCCAACTCAGGCAAGATGAAAAGCAGTAAATCAGAAGGTTCCTCAAGTTCCAAGTTAAGCAGCAGTGTATATTCTAGCCAAGGGTCTTCTGGATCTAGCCAGTCCAAAAATTCATCCCAGTCTGGGGGGAAGCCAGGCTCCTCTCCCATTACCAAGCATGGACTGAGCAGTGGCTCCAGCAGCACTAAGATGAAACCTCAAGGGAAGCCATCATCACTTATGAATCCTTCTTTAAGTAAACCAAACATATCCCCTTCTCATTCAAGGCCACCTGCAGGCTCTGATAAGCTTGCCTCTCCAATGAAGGCTGTTCCTGGGACTCCCCCATCCTCTAAAGCCAAGTCCCCCATCAGTTCAGGTTCTGGTGGTTCTCATATGTCTGGAACTAGTTCAAGCACTGGCATGAAGTCATCTTCAGGGTTAGGATCTTCAGGCTCATTGTCTCAGAAAACTCCCCCATCATCTAATTCTTGTACAGCATCTTCCTCTTCCTTTTCCTCAAGTGGCTCTTCCATGTCTTCCTCTCAGAACCAGCATGGGAGTTCCAAAGGGAAATCTCCCAGCAGAAATAAGAAGCCATCCTTAACAGCTGTCATAGATAAACTGAAGCATGGGGTCGTCACCAGTGGCCCTGGAGGTGAGGACCCAATGGATGGCCAGATGGGGGTGAGCACAAATTCTTCTAGCCATCCTATGTCCTCCAAACATAACATGTCAGGAGGAGAGTTCCAGGGTAAGCGTGAGAAAAGTGATAAAGAAAAATCCAAGGTTTCCACCTCGGGGGGTTCAGTGGATTCGTCTAAGAAGACCTCAGAGTCAAAAAATGTGGGGAGCACAGGTGTGGCAAAAATTATCATCAGCAAGCATGATGGGGGTTCTCCCAGCATTAAAGCCAAAGTGACTTTGCAGAAACCTGGGGAAAGTAGTGGAGAAGGGCTCAGGCCTCAGATGGCCTCTTCCAAAAACTATGGCTCTCCACTCATCAGTGGTTCCACTCCAAAACATGAGCGTGGCTCTCCTAGCCATAGTAAGTCACCAGCATATACCCCCCAGAATCTGGACAGTGAAAGTGAATCAGGCTCCTCCATAGCAGAAAAATCTTATCAGAACAGTCCCAGCTCAGATGATGGTATCCGACCTCTTCCAGAATATAGCACAGAAAAGCATAAGAAGCACAAAAAAGAAAAGAAGAAAGTAAAAGACAAAGATCGAGACCGGGACCGGGACAAAGACCGGGACAAGAAAAAATCTCATAGCATCAAGCCAGAGAGTTGGTCTAAATCACCCATCTCTTCAGACCAGTCCTTGTCTTTGACAAGCAACACAATTTTATCTACCGACAGGCCCTCAAGGCTCAGCCCTGACTTTATGATTGGGGAGGAAGATGACGATCTTATGGATGTGGCCCTGATTGGCAATTAGGAACCTTACTTTTTAAGACAAAAGTGGCCAGAGAAAAACTAGTAAGTTTATAGGCAAACCACCATAAGGGGTGAGTCAGACAGGTCTGATTTTGTGTTCAAGAATCTTAAATGGCATGGCTTTGACACCGAGCTGGGTGAATTTAGAAAGGCATAGCCAGACCCTACTAAAGAGACCATAGGGTTTGATTCTGGTTACCAAGAATCACTTTTTCCTTTGCCAGAGAAAAAAAGAGAAAAAAAAAAAAGTTAAAATACTTGCTTATGAAAGGGAGGGGGTGGGTGGGGCATAGGGAGAGGGAAGGGTGGGAAACAGTTTTGTGGGAAATATTCATATATATTTTTTTCTCCCTTTTTCCATTTTTAGGCCATGTTTTAACTCATTTTAGTGCATGTATTTGAAGGGCTGGGCAGCAAATGAAAAAGCAATACATTCCTTGATGCAGTTGCATGAAGGTTGTTCACTTTGTTTGGATAGTTGTCCATTTGAGGCATGGACAAATGAAGGACTTTGGTCATTTTGGACACTTAAGTAATGTTTGGTGTCTGTTTCTTAGGAGTGATTGGGGGAGGGAAGATAATTTTAGCTATTTATTTGTAATATTTTAACCCTTTATCTGTTTGTCTTTACACAGTGTTTCTAATTCTATAAGGTTCAGGGTTCAAAGTGATGGGAGGTGGAAGAGCAAGGCTTATTTGGTGGTAGGGAGCCTGTAGCTTGTGCTGGTACTGTAGCATTAAGCCCAAGCAGATTAGTCAGAGTCCACCTTTGGAGTTAAGTAGAAAAACCAAAATGGTATTTTTGTTTTAGGAGGTTTATCATAGGGTTCAGACATCATAGGAATATTAGGAGTTACCTCCCTGTGGAGGTACTGATTTATAGTCTCTTTGTCCTTTAATAAAGGCTGGGCTGGCTTTTTGGGATGTAAACATGTTTTCAGATGCAGTAAGTTTTAATGTACAGCCTCCCTGACCCAGTGGCATGAAAACCATTACAGAATTAATAGTTCTCCTATTTCCACAATGTGCCAAAAGTCCACATCCCAGCATTTTGTTTGTAGGAGAACTGATGCCATTCCTGAGAGCTGGGCTCCTTGTTTCTCTGCATCACATGGAGAAGGAGTCCAGACTTCAGTCGCTCCACTGTATGCTCCCTTAGATAAAACAGTAAAAAATTTGCAGCCATAGTTCACTTAAAACAATTTCAAGCTCACGTGAAGTAATGGGGGCCTGGAATGCTAGGTGGGCATGAAGATAAACCCTTGCTACTATGTAGCAACCCAATTGGACCTTTTTGGAGGAATAGGTCTGAGTCTGGATTCTGGGGGACATCAATAAGAAGCCCTTCTCATGAATATAGAAATCCAGGAGACCATTTGAGTGCAACACAAGTTCTCAGTATTTGGAGGGTCCTCTCAAAATTCTGCGGCCTTACTTTGATTTTGACACCTGCACTGTGCCATTCCTGATGATTCCATTCAGGATCTGTATCAGCAGGACGGGGCACAGTCCCCAGCACAACTCTTCTGGATTAAAAAAAAAAAAAAAAAAAAAAAAGCCAGGTGATTCATTTGTGTGTGTGTGTGATAAATGGAAGTGACTTCATCAGATATTGAAGAAGATTTCTATATTCAGCTCTTTCTGCAGGTTGGAGTTAGCATAGAGTTGGAAAATCAGCTTTGGCGTTCTTTCCTGACTGTCTCTGATTTCCTCTAGTGTTCTCCCTTTTCTGGTCATCAGCTCTCAACAACTCTGCCACTTTTGTGTCCCAAGGTAATAAGAAGTAGGAAACGAAACATTGCAAAGTGGAGCAAGAAAAGTTATCGGTTACCGTATCAGAGTCAAATGTCTTGGGTGACACTAAGGAGGACATGGGCAAGGTGATACCAGAGTGCTTTATCTTGTGATGCTGATACAGTAGCAGCCTCTCAGACATATAACCAGGTTGGATTTCTCACAAGTTTCTCACCTAGTTTTGAATCCTATCCCATTGGTTTCTGCAGAGAAAAAAAAAATGTTACGTGGTTTTTAAGTTTGTTCTGGGTGGGGAACATCTTATGGGGAATGTACTACATATCAGGGGCTCAGCTTCCCCAAGCAGAGCCAACAGATTCCAAAATGAGTAAACTGGGAAGCTTTTTCTCTCTTTCTGTCTTCATCCCAGATCAAAGAATCCCGAGTTAGGATCTGGATGAAGGATAAGCCCCTGAATTGTCGATGGGCACACCCCACACACTGACCCAGCATCTGAACTTGCTTAACAGGGAGCCGGGGCTAACCTGCTTCACCCTGCCTGAGAACCAGGGAGCACTGCATTTCTCCACAGGGTGGAGGAGAAGAGGCAGAATAAATCAAGCCTGGGACACCTCCCTCCTGTCTAGGTGTACTCATTCTTCTGTTTCAAAAGACTGCAAGGACATGAAGTCAACTTCTACCTGTCTTCTGCTGCTGGTGTCTTATGTATTCTTAGTTTGACCTGATTCCTCTTCTGTCTTTTGGCTTCATGTTAGGGGTTCTTGGTCAAAACCTGCTCTGATGTACATGAAGATTTCAGGTTCAAAATCCATGTGTTTTAAAACAGGTATTTTATAAACGGGGGAGAAATGAAGCAGGATATAATTGCCAAAACTGGCCTTCAGGTTAGTGGCTCTCGGAAAGATTTTCCTTAAGGCCTAGGTCTGAAAATGTAGTGCAACAATAGCATGAATTCTCAGAAGCAACCCTTTCAAGGGAGCCAGTGAGTCATACAGTATCCAGTCAAGTCACTTAAAGCAGATGACAGTATAGGAAATTTTCACAATCCCTGGGCAATCTCATTTTCTCCCCCCTCCCTTTTTTCCCTTTTCAATCCCTCTACCCCCTTATTTCTACCCATGAGTTAGTTTTTGAGGGGTAGAAGTACCTAACATCTCGGAAGCTAGGTTGGGAAACATGCTCAGCTGTAAAAGCTGAGCTTTATTAATCTTGTGTTTTAGAAATGTACATCAGGAGCAGTTGGGGAGGGTCTTTTCTAAAAAAATCTTTCAAATTTGATTTTCTGTGCGTATGGCCGTTCTGTAAATACTTTGGGGTTTTTCATTTTTTTGAAAGTAGACAAAATCTGGGATTTTTCCCCCCGAAACATTACAAAAGAACCTGTTTATTTACATGCAAATAAATTTCTTTGATAAAAAGTATTATGCCTTTGTGTAGTAAATTTTTAACCTTTGAGTAATTTTCACTTATTCAGCTTTTTTAAAAAAGGATTTTCTTTTTAGAGGGGGTGGGGGGAGGGGCAGAGAGAGGGACAAGCAGACTCCCTGCTGAGCGGGACCTGCAGGGGTGGCTCAACCCTGAGATCATGACCTGAGTCAATCAAGAATCAGCAAAATTAAGAGTCAGCAGTGCAACCGACTGGGCCACCCAGAGAACCCCTATTCAGCTTTTTAAAAGTCCACCAATCAGAAAAAATTCAATCAGGAAATAAAAGTCTTCCCTGAGTATTACTCAAAATAGGTTAACCGTAAAGGATAACTGAAACCTGGTAAAAGACCTGTGAAAGTTTGCTTCATTTGATTTATCTGCTTGAGCCAGTTTTACTATCTTTTGCAGGTCTTAGTCACCAAATTCATCAATAGTTGGGAGAAAACTGCTCTTAGATCAGATACGACTAAAAAGCTGTGTTTATATGGCTGAAGTGAAATAACAGAAGTAGCAGACAATATAACATCTAGACCTGGGTTTGTGGGCCTGAGAATGAGTTTCTGAAGCTAGGTTCCTTGCTTAAGAAGCCCTTTCTAGAACAAACACGAGAAAGTTTAAGAAAAAAAAGTGCTTGAAGAGTTGGGTAATAAAGCTTCCAGCTTAAATATGCCTATTTTATTTTTATAATTTTTACTGTTTTTTTTTTTTTTTTTAAAGAGCAGGGGTTGGGCTGGCGGGAGGGGAAGGTCAGAGGGAGAGACTCTCAAGCAGGCTCCACGCCCAGCTGGGAGCCCAAGCACGGGCTGGATCTCACAGCTTGAGATCATGACCTGAGGGGAAAGAGTTGGATGCTTAACCGAACGAGACACCCAGGCACCCCAGAATATGCCTATTAAAAAAAAAAAAAAATCTCCAGCACAAGTTGCTCTTAAGTAAGCTCCTCTCTCTTTTATAAATGTTTTAAGTAATCTCTACACCCAACGGGGCTTGAACCTACAACCCCGATATCAAGAGTGGTAGGCTCCACCAACTCAGCCAGCCAGGTACCCCAGTAATCTCTCTTAAATCAGATTCGTAACAAGCCAGTCACTAAAACTAATTAAAGGAGGTATGAAGACAAACATACTTACTTTGGAATACGATTAGGGGCAGTGATCCTGCCAGGACTGCTGGAATTTATGATACAGTTTCTAATATTTCATCTTGGGTACACGATTCTGTAGTTTGTCGCTCTAAAAAAGGGTAAACTTATTCCTTAGTCCATGGAAATTCGATAATAAATTTCAAGACCTTGAGGGCTGGTGTTGCTAAAGTATAATAATATAATGACACAAACTAGCTTCTATGGAAGGAGCCAAGGAGTCAGATGAATGTAATTTCCACTGAGCCAGCGCCCCCGCCTACTAGTTAAGACACGCTTGTTTCTCCCGCCAAAGTGGCGTCAGGATCAGGTTTTCACCAAGCAAAACCCTGATTGGAGGACGGGCAGGCACTAGAGCCCATTGGGCGCCAGCAGCAGTCTGGTGGCGGAGGGGCGGGGGAAGCCAAAGGCACTTCAGCCTCGCACGGCCCCCCCCCCCAACCACCAAAGCGCGCCCCTCCCCCAGCTAAAAGGAATGGTCGCCCAGCTCCGGCGCTGCACCCCCTAACCCCAAGGCGCGAGGTGCGGCCTTGCTGCATATTCCTGGAGCAGAGGGTAGCGCAATTACCCCCTCCTCCCGTCCTCCTGATCCATGCACGGGGAGACCCACGCCCTGCCGCGGCCCCCCAGGCCTCCCTGCAACACCCGGTAATGCAATCCACGGGGGCGGGGGAGGCGGCGGCAGCGACAGCAACAGCAACGACGGCGGCGGCGGCAGCAGCACTGCCTCAATCTAGAGACAACCAGAAAGAGGAGGAAAATGGCTCCGAGCAGGGACCGCCTGCTGCACTTTGGGTTCAAGGCGACAGTGAGTGATAGGGAAAAGGAGTTGGGTGGCCGGGAAGGACATGTGTGGCTGCACAGGCTACCGGGGAAGAAGCGACAAGACTAGGGGGCTGGGAGGGCTTGACAGGAAGCTCAAGTGCTTGCTGGGTGGGTGCGTGCTGTTTGCCGGCGAAGGGGATTAGATGGGCTCCGGTACTGTGTGCAGTTGTCCTGCTTTCCTCACTCGCTAGTCCGCGAGCACGCGCGCACTCACACCCTCCCCACAGCCCCTCCCATACACAAATACACACAGACAGATAGGCACTTCCCTGCCTCTCCTCGCGGTGGGCTTGCGTGCCTCGGAGGCAAGAGCGGGCTCGCGCCGCCGCCGCCGCGCTCCGGCTGCTCCCGGGCGAACCGTCGCGGGCTGCGCCCGGGAGTGGGGGAGGGGTGGTCCCGCGCCGCCGCCGCAGCCGCCGCCGCCGCCGCCGCCGCCGCCGCGCGCTCCTCCTCCTCCCCTCCCCACGCCGTTCCGAGGCCCGGGCGGCTCTGCCCAATGAGGAGCGGCGTTGCTGGCAGGTGGGGAGTGTTTTTGTTTTGGGTTGAAGTTGAGGCTGAGGGGAGAGAAGAGCTAGCGACGAGCAGTCGTCGCTGCCGCCGGCTCTGCGGGAGGTGGAGGAGGCCCCGCCGGAGCCGAGAGGTTTCCCCTCCCCGCTGACGGCCCCTGCCCGCCGCTCCTCTACCTCCTCCCGGTCCCGGAACTCCGGGGCCTGCCCTGGGCCCCCAGTTTTTGCACTCCGCACGCTGCAGCGCCCGGCCCCGGCCGCACCCGCCGGCCCCATGAGGAGGGACGTGAACGGAGTGACCAAGAGCAGGTTTGAGGTGTGAGCCTGGGGGAGCTGGGGCGGCGTGAGCAAGGCGATTCCCGCTCTTATGCCCCGAAAATTTCGCTCGGCACGGAGCCTCCTCCCTTGCCTGGCGCCGTCACCCACCGACCGCTGGGGCTGCCAGACTTCTTTCCCCTTTCTCGCGACCTGAAAGCCCGGTGCAGCCCAGCTTCCCTAGTCCTCAGGGCTGGTCACCTCCAGCCTGTTCCACCAGCGGGCCCGGGCAAGGGATTACTCTGGCGCCCTAATTCCCCCCTCCCCCCAGTATCACTCAGCTTTCCATTCTTTACACAATCCTTGGCTTCTCTCCCTCCACCCGGCAGAAAAAGCATCACAGCTCCGATCAACCGGAGCTGGCTTCTTTTCTTTCTGCCACCTTCTTCGTGAAGCGAGAGGGACATTATGGGCCAGGGGGCCATTTCTCTGTGTTTGAGAGACCTTGGTTCAACTAGGGAAGTGGAGGTGGTAGACTGGGATGATAGAGACGACCACGAGTTTTCGGTGCTGTTTGGTGTGGGTATTGTTCTGATACTTCCTCTTCTTTCCCGTTTAGTCTGTACTTTTGTAGTTCATTGTTTCTG